CCTGAAGTACAAAATATATAGGATTTGTTGCAAAAATGACTCAAAATTCTAAGTCAAACACAAACTTTTTTTAACATTTTATTTGCACAATCCACTTTAGAAGTTCTGATTATTTACAAAAATGTCATTATTTTTATTAAATTTTTTTTTTGAAAATGAGTGTTTTACTCTCTCATCCTCATATTCATCAATTAATCACGAAAATACAACTACTATCAATTCACCCAACAACCATGAGCAACCAAAATAAAGCTCTTAATGCATCTAAAAACAAAATTTACTCGTTCATTCTCATAACTAATGTCCAAAAACTACATTTCTCTCACTTTCTAGCTATATTCATCCAAAAAAAATCCAAACTTTTTGATTCTAAAGTTTTTGAAGGTCATATAGCTATCCAAACTCACGATTTCTGGTCTTTAATGATTGAGTAGATGTTCTACTGCAGTTGTGTATTTTTGGAAAACTAAGCAAGTTCTCTTAGGGCTTGAAGGTATGAATTTTTTTTCCCAGATTTTTTCGCTAAAAGACTTACTTTTGTAAGTCTTCTGGTCGATGAATATGTTAGTTTTGTAATTGATTTTCTATGTTTTTTTTTAGAAAAGACTGTTGTGGAAATTTTTGAATTTTCTTTGTTGGTAAAAAAATTTGAGAAGACTTATCTGGAAGTCTCTCGGATAAACATGTTAGTTTTGTAATTGACCAATCTGTGTCAGAAATTTGACTTTCTACGGAAGACTTACCTGTAATTTCGAGGACTTTTGTATTAGAAAAGTAGATTTCTCTGGAAGTCTTCCTTTGCAAATTTTCAATTGCAAAAATGACCTGGAAGTCTTGTGCCAAAAAACTTACCTGAAAATCTTCTCCAGGAAGACTTCCAGGTAATTCTTATACGACAATATATAATAAAAATTCATTTTCTTCAAATTTAAATTAATTCTTAAGATTTTATTCTTAATTCATGTGTTTTAGACAATATTTGGGGTCCTGAATAAAATTCATCAGCTAATTGGTGATAATTATGAGGTTACCAACATTCATGTTTTTTTAATCTTTCTAGCTAATAATAGAAGACTTCCAAGAAAGTCTTCTCTTGGAAGACCTTTGTGGAAGTTTTCCACATTAGTTTTTGTAAATTTGTATTTTTAAGAATGTTCAGTAATTTAAAATAAATTTTTTTAACTTTCAAAAGTGTTAAACAATTTCAAGAACTATATAATGTGTACATGAAAATGAAGTTGGAAGAGTTAACCAACTCATTATATCTTAATTGTTTATAATTATTAAATTTATTGGTTTTACTTCTTACAAGACTTTGTTGGTTTTACTTCTTAGAAGTTTAAAGTGATGAAAAACTATTGTAAGTTAATGAGAAGACGTTGTTTATAGTTAATGAGAAGAAGTTGTTAAAAACAATGGTTTTAAGCTTAAATAATATCTAAAACAATCACATTATGTTGAATCTATAACTTATTAGAATCTAACATATAAAAAAACAATAATACATATAATAAATTTATAGATATGCCCTTAAATGAATAAAAGATGACAACTATGTAATGAAAAACCTGCAAAAAACAAGATAGAATAGTGAGAAACACATAAAATGAGAAATTAATATAATTTTGGTCTTTTCATGTTTAAAGAGACTATAAAGAGGTTGGAGAATATTAGTTTGGAAAAAAGATAAGAACTTTATGCAACAATAGAATACTAATTGAAGAAAATCAGACTTGAAAGCTTACCAAAACGCTCAGATTTTTTGTGAAAGAGGAGACATGGAAGAAGAGTATGCCAGAAGACTTAAGATGATGTCAGAAGACTTAATACAACGCCATAAGACTTCCAGGAAAGTCTTCTGTAAGTCTTCCAATGTCTGCCTCAGATCTCAAAAAACATGCATATTTAAAAACGTTCAAATGACATCAAAACATAGAGAAAATTCAAAAAATAATGTTTAAACTTAAATAATAACTAAAACAATCACATTATGTTGAATCTATAACTTATTAGAGTCTAATATATAAAAGACACAAAAATACATATCAAAAGTTTATAGATCTACTTTTAAATGAGTGAAAGTTGACATCTATGTAATAAAAAACCTGCAAAAATAAGTCAAAATAGTGAGAAACATATACAACTGAGAAATTGATATAATGTTTGGTTTTATCAAATTCAAATAGTTTAGAGAGAGGTTAGAGAATTTTAGAGTGCGAAATATTACATTTTTGTTGCCTCCATTTCAGAGGAAGAAAGAGATCGAATGTGTAAATTTTCATTTATATAGGAAGACAAAAATTCAAATTATGTTAAATATTTCCGATACAGAAGACTTTAGAATATTTTAGAAGACCTTAGATGACTATTCACCCATAAGACTTATTTTTGAAGACTTACTATTCGTCCAGAGGACTTACTTAGAATTTTAAGCAGGAAACCTAACTTTGAGCGAGAAACTGTTATTAAGTTTTCATAAGTTTTCATAAGTCTTCCAAAATCCCAAAATCAAATAGGTCAAATATATATAATTAAATCACATACAAAAACTTTATCAAACTAAATTAAACTTATAAAGTGTTTAATCTACACAAAACTAAACAGATATAGCTAAATTTTACTTTTTAAAAAGAATGTTAAGATTTCACAATCTAACCCTAGAAACACATACAATACAACATCATAGTTACTAAACCCTAAACCAAAGAATATCATGACAAACTTATATTCACACATTTATCTTGAAAACTATTCAGTTTTATTAAATTTTTATTTACATCATTTATAAATGTAAATAATTAAATGATTTGGATTTTTTACTAACCAAAAATATTTTTTCTTAAATTTATAAATTATTTTTAAGATCTAGAGTACGAGAAGACTTTTAGGTAAGTCTCTTGAAAGTCTTCACAATCGCAAGATTATAATGGTAAATTACAATCCTTTTTTTGTCATGAGGGGATATTTGTAATTTCACTAGCTTTTTGAGTTACTTTTGCATTTCATTTGAGTTTGGGTAGACTTTTACATTTAAAATCAAGTTTGAGTCATATTTAAAAAATCCCCCAATAATATATGCCTGATTTTAGGTGATCTTATATATTTTTATTCTGTTTTTAATTAATGCTAACTATTCATTTATTATATTTTATAAATAATTATTCATTTGTTATCTTTTTCAGATAAGTTGACCGTATTTATTATAGAAATACAAAACAAAATCTACTTATTTTAAAGTATTTTATTACATCTTTTTCATTTTTTATCTTTCTTATAATTACTTCATTAATTTTATTTAATATAATATTTGATAACATCTATTTTATATGTTAAACATAATAATTCGACATATTTCAATGAAATTTCTCCATTGTGACAAGAATTCAAAACAATTAACAATATTTTTTTATTTCTTTACATAATTGATTAGGCATGAACATTAAGAAATTTGTTCCGGATACGAATCGTTTCTTTTAATTATCGAGTTTTTGAGTTTTTGAATTAGACTTCATTTAAGTATTATAGGAACCTAAAATATTTAGATAATGAATATATAACTTGTTGTATCGTGACACATCTAAAATATATAACATTAATCATTAAAAATAAGAAAAAAAAATATCCACACGAGTGCGGATAAAACTCTATAAAAATATCCACACGAGTGCGGTCAAATTTTTTGGATGCAAATAATTATTTATTTTGATGATTTTAATTAAATATATTTTCCGGATAACAACACAATATATATAAGAATTATCTTTTTCTTTTAAATATATATTTAGATTATGGATAATTCTTATCATTATTATAATTTAAATCATTTATCTAATCAAATAAGTATTAAATTCGTTTTAATTTTTGGCTAATTTATATATTTTATTCATTAAGGGTATAATCGATATTAACCACTCCAACTTTTAACGTGAGAGCTCCGTTGCGAAAAATCACTTCGCAAATAATAGTATAGATATATATACATTATTTTAATAAATAATTTCGTATTATAATTTTTTTAATTTTCTCTTTTGAATTATATACAATTAAGATTTTTATTTTATGAATACTTATTTATGTGTTTTTTTGAATTTTTGAATTAAATATATTTTCCGGATAACAACACAATATATATATAAGAATTATCTTTTTCTTTTAAATATATATTTAGATTATGGATAATTCTTATCATTATTATTAATTTAAATCATTTATCTAATCTAATAAGTATTAAATTTGTTTTTATTTTTGGCTAATTTATATATTTTATTCATTAAGGGTATAATCGATATTAACCACTCCAACTTTTAACGTGAGAGCTCCGTTGCGAAAAATCACTTCACAAATAATAGTATATACATATAGGGGTTTTTGCCAAAACTAACCCACAACTTGGTTTTAACCCCAATACCCAACTTGAATCAAATGCAAATCTAACCTAAAAGGGCTATGAAATTACAATATAGTCCTCTGTGACCAAACAAAAAAACAGAAGATATTTTTACGAATATAACCCCAGTAAGTTGTCTGAGTCGGGCTGAGTTACTTGTCTGGACGATTGAATCTTAAAAATAATTTATAAATTCTGTAAAAAATATTTTCATGAGTGAAAAATTAAAAACATGTAATTATAAACATTTCTAAGTGATATAAATTAAGAAATGATAAAATTGATTTGTTTTCAGCATAGATGTAGGTTTAGAACCACTGGTAGGTCGCATTGCTAGTAAAAAAAAATCAAGAGATAATGAATAACGGCAAATTAAAGTTTGCTATATTATGGTCCAAATAAAAGTGGTTCCACTGACCTGTTTTGCCGACAAGATCTTTCAAATCATCCTCTTCTCCGTCAGCAGCGACTTGGATCTTCTTCTTCTTCAGCCGCTCTTTAGAAGCTCCAAACAGCTCCTTTCTTCGTTTATTGGTAATCACGCAACTTCTTATCCTTGTTAACAGCACTTTGAGAATGTTCCATCTCCGCAAAACCATTGGTTCCCTTATCATCAAGGCTTTTCAATGCAATCCCAGCATGGAAACTCTCTGTACTTAAAGTTAAACTTCTTTGGAACATAACCTGTACACTTCCACAGCTCACGGGAGAAAACAGACCGACAACCCTCGAAACAAAGCCGGATCTCCGCCGGGGAGTCCTTGCACATTAACCTAAAAGAACGCTCCATTCTCAAGGTCTTGGTGGGCAACTCCACCAGTAACTGAGCAACCTCACTCTCCTCGATGTCTTTGCTCTCCCTCTTACACTTATCACAAGTGAAAATCTCTTCTCCTTTAACGTAACGAGAGCATCAAGTATGCACCCAAACCCCACAGTCATCACAGTTCACCATCTCTTCTCCATCATCGATGTTGACACCGCAAACGCAATCCACAGTCCAAGATCCATCGACCCAATCCTCATGATGCGATCTTCCTTTCATCTAACTAACCCTAACTTATGAGACGATTCGGCTAAGAAACCAATAGACTCCAGATTCTGACAGGAACTCAAACTCGGACGGAGATTGCCAAAGCCAAAGGTTATAGAGGAAGTGATTTTTGAACTGAACGGGAAAGATACTAGATTTTACCGTCTCAAGTCCGTCTAACTCTTCTGGGCTTATGAGCCGGCCTGGATCCACTTTTTAGCAATTCTGGTAAAGTTCTGTAGCAATTCTGTAGGAGATGAGCCTTGTCTCCACAAGGTCTATTAAACAATGAACTTAGCCCATCTAAAAGGAAGTTACTAGGAAATTTTAGATTTTATCATTTTATAAATAAGAAAGCACCTCTTACTTTTGGACTTCTAATTTTTTTCTGGAGAAATACATCCCACTCTCTAGAAAGAAAATACATGTAGAAAGAACCTAAGAGCTATTGCTCTCAGCTCTGCGAACGATAGATCTCTGTCCTACGAGCCGTTGCTCTCCACCATGCGAGCCATTGCTCTTTGCTCTCTGCAGTAGTTCTCATCTTCATGGACAAGAAACTACAAAACACATCACATTTTACTAGCACAACACCTCCCAGTCAATCATATGCCTTCTCGTAGACATTTGTGTCCTTTTATAATGAACTACAGTTGACTTGATCCCTACTCAAATGATATGTAAGTAGCTATTCACGAGGTCAGCTATAATATATAAAATCTCTTTTACTCCCCTTTACCCACAACCATCCAGTTCAAGCTCAACAAGGAGACTTCTCCTAATCACACCATCGAAATCTGTCTACCTTAGTAAAGCACCGATTTCGGTTAAAATAAATTCTTTTTTTTTTGTCAAAACATATATATCTATATTATTAAAACTGAAATACAAAATAAAACTAATCTTATTTTCAACACATTTATTACATATTTTATTTTCTTATTTTCACTCATTTTACACTACTTTATTAATTACTTCTTTCTAAATAACTTGACAGATTTATTATAAAAGTAAAAAAATATAATTTACCTATTTCAAGTGTTTTATTATATTATTACATTCTTTTTCACTATTTCAAACTACTTCATTAATTGTATTTACGATACTAATTCGATGTCATTTATTTTACATGTTATCTATAATAATTTCACATGCATGTTTGAATGAAATTGTTCCATTAGTACGAGAATTAAATTGAAACAGAGGAAGTATGATTGTTGTGAGCACATATGGCACTAACGGGAACACACGGCTGTGTTAAATCCGACAAAGAAAGGATTACAACCCTTATACTAGCATCCTGAGATAAGAACTTGACGAGATTTGATGAGTAACCAAGAGTTGAATTCAAGCAGAAAATTTGGACTCCAATATTACCATGTCTGATCAAGACTATATTCACACAACCCAAAGAGACCCGAGGGTCATCGAAATCTAACAAACTGGGCATGGGAGAGCAACTAGGAGGTGTATATGTGAAAGATGTTTTCGGTGAGAAGAGGCTGGTCGGTAGATCTTCTAGCTAGGGGTTCCTCACCGAACTGAAAGCAACTTGATGCTTTAAGCTGTAGATCTTCACAGATCTGTTGAGTGGTAAAATAAGAACATCTGTATGGAGGTCTCGCTCGCACCAAGTCCAGTCATAATAGATCTTTCCGGAACGGAGAAAGGTCATCACCTAGAAAGACGACAAAGGTCACTACAAGAAAAACACGTTTTTATAGCGGACGAATAACGCTATATAACGATAGGATATCGGTTTCTTAAGCGCTGTATCATCGTCCGTCATAATAGGTCGAGGGCATTAAATAGCGGTATTTCGTTGTGCTATCTTTTCTTCCGTTACGATAGCGTTTTTATTTCTGCAATTAAATATTATTTAATAGCGTCTTTTTACTGCTATTACCAATTTTATAAATAGCGTTTTATGTTTGTTTTAGTTAATACTACTATAGCAGTTACCAAAGTGCAATATATATATATGTACTACTATAGCAATGTCATTTGTGCTGTATATATTATGTTAATATATTTATATATTTTAATTTTTAATTTTTATATATTTATATTTACACAAATTCATTTTCTGGGATTTTGAAACAAAACATCAACTTATATAAATAAACATAAATTCCATAGATTCAACTTAAACACACTACATAGTTGTTCACACATCATACATTATAAGTTCAAACTAAAACAACATTTTCATCCTTAGAGATACACAAGCTTATCATTTGGCCAAGCCACGGTGCTTCCTACTGCATCACCCATGAATTCGATTTCAGAGTTTGGCCTCCACACTCGAGCCCCATCGAACTCGGAAACCTCTACCCAAACCTTCGTAGCATTGGGACCTAAAGGAACAAAATGCACTTTCTCTGTTGGATCAGTTGAGAACACACGACCTAAAGCAACTCTGATCTGTCCTAAGTTATGACAGTCCAAGAGAGCAACCTTCTATTTGCCACCTTTGTTGCTACTACTAGTGCTGTTACCACCACTCTAAAACCAAAAAAGACAAACACATTCACCACAATATCAACACCAGCAACCTAACAATTCAATATCTAATCACCCTCTCAGAATTTACAAACTTACCTGATTAGATATCTTGTTTGATTCAGTAGGTGAATGTTGATCAGTAGGTGAATGTTGATCAGGTAGTCTTATCTTATCTAGAGGCCACGCTATTGTCCCATGTACTGCATCACCCATCTTTGTCATTTCAGGTGTAGGTCTCCAGATAAAGGCATTAGGTTTAAAAACCATTTCGACTTTAAGAACTGCTGCATTCGGTCCCAGTGGAATTTGGTCGACGAGGTGGGTAGGTTCGGTTGTCAACAAGACACCCTCAGCTATCAACTCCTCTTCTAGTTTCCAGTAATCAAATATTTTAACATTTCCTAAAGATGCAGCTACATCCTAATCACGTAAAATATATTCACACATTTCAGGAGTACATTAATTAATGATTATCAAACGTTGGANGGTAGGTTCGGTTGTCAACAAGACACCCTCAGCTATCAACTCCTCTTCTAGTTTCCAGTAATCAAATATTTTAACATTTCCTAAAGATGCAGCTACATCCTAATCACGTAAAATATATTCACACATTTCAGGAGTACATTAATTAATGATTATCAAACGTTGGAGGAAAGAATTTATTTACCTCTGACTCGTCGTTGTTACCATTGTTTGAAATGTCAATGCCATCATCCAAGATGAGCTTCTCAGATGGCCATGCAATTTTGAGTCCAACAGCCTGACTGAGCGATACACAAGTTGGAGTAGGTCTCCATATAGGCGCTGTTACGACTGATACAGACTTCACTATAACAGCAGCCGCATTAGGACCCAGTGGAATGCGACCAATCTTATATGTCGACTCACTAGAGTAGAATTCTCCTTCAGCAACAACCAAATCATCATTCGAAACCCAATCCAGTATTTGGCACCTTATTCCTCCCCCCTTGCTCACATCGCTTCTCTCAAAAGTAGAATCAAATCCGCTATTTTGCTATACCCAACAACCACAAACATTTATGTTACAACCTTATACATATCAGAAGCTTGAATAATAAAACAAGAAGAATAACGAAGTTACCTTTTTACCAGCCAAGTCTTTAACCACATTTTGCAAATCTTGAACCTTGTTGATTAGTTATGCTTGAGTTGCTTCAAGTTGCTTGACATGTGAATCTCTAGCATGTAAGAATGCCAACTTGGTTACAGTAACCCCTCGTCCCAACCCCCTAATTCTTCCTGACTTTTCTTTTCCTAGGACCTGAGTGACAGCATCTTCACCGATATTATCTGCTGAACTTGATTCCATTTCACTGTCAATTCTCTTTATCCTCTCCTGCAATTAAAAATTACACAAGTTATGTAAATTCTATTGTATAGCCCACAATATTATTGTTACAAGTAATCTTACTATTGTATCTGCAAATTCTTGACGAACTGGTGTTCCATCAGAATGTGTATGCCCAGCGACCAAAACCTTAGTTCTAGTGACTAGCTTAGGATCAGAACTGTTTTTTCTCTACAATTTAAATAAAGTAGTTGTCATCAGATCTCATAAACCCAATAACACACCAATTATTATTTCAAATTGTAAAACATACCATCTCCTCTGCAAGCCGATTCATGCCTTTTCGACTAGTGGTGTGGGGAATTTGAGCCTTCCTGAGTTCCCTGTACTTATTACTTTGTTCCTACATATACCAAATACCATTTTGTAATAAAATTTACTTACATAACCCAAATGTGTATACGCAAGACACAAAATAATACCTCAAAAGCTGCAGTACATCTTCCTTTCACCCAATTGTTCCAAGCTGTTACAGATTGTATGTTGCTGGGTTTAATTATCTGTAGTTGCGCCTTGTTTTTTGCTGCTCTAACTATGGAAGACAGTCTAGATTTAGAGGCTCTCCACAAACAACCCATCTGCTTAAACACTACATCCTTTTGCCAGTCTTCTGTCAAGTTGAATCATCCCTGTACATAATATTCATATTAATACTAAACTCATGTGTGTGTATATAAATAGGTAACAGAATTACCTGTATTTCCTCCCACAGAGCGTGTTTTGTTTTCTCTTCCAGATGTCTCCAGTCATCTAGCAAAACAGGCACATGCTCTCTCACAAGAGGACCAAGGAATGAGGACAGTGTCACTGATCCACGGCCAACATGCTCTCCCAAAGAATTGAACTCCACATCGACCTTGTCCTCTATATGTCTCGCCACTTTTCGCATTTCAGTTGGACCTCTGGTCTTCTTCAGTTGGTTATCAGATTGTTGTGTTTGTGTCTCAGAGCTAGGAATGACTTCTTCTTCTTCGGGTGGTTGTGTTTCATCATCATCTTCTTCTTAAGCTTCTACAGATACTGGTTCTTGTTCCACTTCTTCTGAATCTGTATGTTTCTCGACTTCGTCGGACAATTCTTCTTGGTCCTCCTGTTCCACATTCTTCGGACAATTCTTCTTCTGTTTCTTGGTAGTTAAAGACACCACAGGACTAACATCAAGGCCTGCTTGACGTTTACTGTGACGCGCCTTCTCAGTAACAGTGTTCTCGTTCATTGTATCTGTTTACCTGTTACAATAACAAACTTATCATTAATCTCAAAGAATAATACCCTCACAATCATTCCTAACACAAAAACTCTCATCATCTGAAGCGTGATCTCCGATATCTTCATCATGCTGGACTGTTAACGTTGCAGGGAAAATTTCCTCTTCAGTCTCTAATTCATGATATCCTCTCGGAGGTGCTCTCATAACAACATACCAAGGAGACCTGTCATCCTCTCTTGAGTAAAAAACTTGTTTAGCTTGAGAAGGCAGAATGTATGGATCATTAATAAATGTTGACTGGTTCATGTGGAGATTCACAAGTGTAAAACCATCTTCCTCTTTAACACCTTTCCCTTTATGTGTCCAACTACACTTAAACAGAGGCACCTGAAACATGTGCTAATCAAGCATTATGATCTCCTTTATGACTCCATAGTATGCTACCATGTCCGCCATTTGATTAGAA